TTTTTTTTTTTTTTTTTTTTTTTTTTTTTTTTTTTTTTTTTTTTTTTTTTTTTTTTTTTTTTTTTTTTTTGTTTTGGGCTTTGAACCATAACAACTACAATATTTTTCAACATCTGTCTACCTGTGGCTACAAAAGTCCAAAAGTTTCTTCCTGCCTTCAACGATTTCATCAATGAAATCATCAAGTTGGCAAACAATATTTTCAGCTCCGGATCTCAGGACCCCAAAACAATCTCTCAAATTCTCAAACGTTTCTCTAATTCCAATCTCTGTTTCCCATTCCACCACTCCCTGGGACCCTATCCCCACCCTCTCCAATTCCGCCCTCAATTCCTCCATCGCCATCTTCGATCTCCTGAACTCGTACAGCAAAATCCCAGGCCTCCCATTCATCTGGTTGATTTCTCCGGCGACTCTCTGCTGCAATCTCGCCGTCGAGATCATAAAAGCTGAACCAAAAAACAGACACCCTTCATACCCCCCTCTTACGAAGTTCGATTCCGGCCAACAGTAAACCAGCCCGTAGAGCAAGATCATTAGGAGGAGTGAGCTCACATTTCTCATTGCGTACAGAACTCCCCTGAATCCATTAAATCCGTTCAGTTTTGATTCGATCGATACTTTCTCATCGAACCTCAGAGATAGCGGTTGAATTCTTGCTTCCATCAGTGCCCGATTCTCCTCCTCCAATCCCACCGCTTCCCTTCTACACCCTGATATTGCCCTAATCACCTGTATATCAAGAGTTCAAAATCTCTTAGACTCTGAACCCAATGCTTCCAAACAAAATAAAACATAACAGAACAAACAAAGACACGAGCAATTATGATTTCTGAGATGGACCTGACGAGAAAGTTGCGGACTCAGATGGCGATGAGTATCGAGAGAGGAAGTGATATTGAACCCAGCAGAGTAGAAATTTTCGATGCCAGAAATGCCTGATTTGAGGACATGACAGGCGTCCCACAGCTTAGAACTCTCATCCATATATTCATCTAGCCACTTCTCCCCCACGGGCAAATGAAGCTTTTGGACAAGAAGTGTCAATTGGGAATGAAATGATCGGAGAAGTGAAAGAACCCTCTGAAGGAATTGGATTGACATGAAATTATTCGACAGGTAAACCCGTTCAAGATCATCGATTCCTCGAGTCAGAAAGGTGTAGAAGCCATTGACAGAGTTGGTTGAGGAAGGATCCATTGTGACCTTATGGGAACTAAAAGGAAAAGCAGAGAGAGAGAGAGAGAGAGAGAGAGAGAAAGAGGGGGAGAGAGAATGGAGGGGTAGTAGTAGAAGAGGGAGAGAAAAGGATATTATGAAGGCTGGTATTTAAGTTGAAGAAGCATTGAGAAATTAAAGGAAGAAATGGAAGAATGGGAATTAGACACCCAATTCTAAGTCTTTTTAGAAGCTCAGGTTTCTAAGGTTGAAAAGGATTGTTGGGAGCAATGATGGGTGTTTCCTATAGGGGGAAAAGATGATTGGTAATATGCCATTTTCATTGTTAAATGGGCAGAAAGAAGGAGAACCCAAAAAAATATTCTATAACTCCCAGAAACTAATTAATTTAAAACTGTAAGAGAATTTATTCTGAGGAAGAGGAAAATAAAAACCCCCAGAAAAGTGAATTGAGAAACAAAAAAATTTATCACCTAAACTAAAGTTTTGGCCCATAGGACCACGATTTCCCTATAAACTCCCTTCCAATTTCTTCCTTTTATCCTCTGCCCTTTAAAGTAGCTCCCATTTATTATTTTTTACATACATAAAGTTGAGAGAGATGGAGATAGACAGAGAAAGAGAGAGAATTGTTGTGGCATTTAAGTACTGGGAATTCTCTTATCTTTATGAAGTGAGATTTAAGCTTTTTATTGGGTTGGGGAAATGATTTAATCAAAGAGGATTCAACCAGTTTTGATAAGTGTGCTGTTTGGATTCTTGTTTCCCCATATTTTTTCCATCCCTCGAGCAACTGAATTTTGCTTCTTTAATCCTCAATCTTCCATTCCATTGAAATTTGTGGGTATGAGCGGAAGAGAAGGGGAAGGTAAGGTTATTCTTATCAATTTTGTTTTTGTTTTTTTTTTTTTTTTTCCCATTCATTGATTTCTTCAAAAGAGTGAAGTTGGAATGATGAGGTTCCTTGTATATAATGCATCTTTCTACAATGGAGAATCATTCTTTTTAGGTCTCAGTTCTTTTTTTCTTTTCCTCTTCCTTTTAAAAATATTTGTAGTGCCCTTTATTCTTTGAGGGACAAAATGGATATGCTCATCTCCCTAAGTCCTCTAGCCCACCCCCTTCCCTCAACTAACGTTCATATTTATATATAGATATATAGATATATATATTTCCCCCACATAATAAAGTTGCATTAACCTTCCAACTTTTTCCAATTTCAATTTAAGGATTCATATTTAAAATTCCACAAATAAAAGTCTATGTATTGATAATAAGCCTAGGAAATTTCCTTGTTTGATTGATTCCTGTCATGTTATTTTATTTTATTTTTCAAAGTTAGACCTTTTCTAGTGGAACAAAAAACCCTCCATTTTTCTTCATCCAAGGTTTCTTGTTTATTTTTTCTAGATCAATCTTTAATCCAATTATAGGTACATTTATCTATTGAACTATGCTCGACTTTTCGACTTTTCTTGTTTAGTCTGTGAAAAAAATTCAAACTTATAATTTGATTTTGAATTATATGGTCCAAGGAACTTCCATTTGAGGGGGAGAGAGAGAGAGAGAGATAGAAAGACATCCCATAGCTTTGGTAGGGTCTTCTTAACTGCGACCTATCAGCTGGAAATCCACAAATGAAATTTCATGGGTACGATTAGATGGGTCCCACTTATTTGTTCTATCTATCTTCACCCCTATTGATCAATTTTTTAAAATAACTGCAGTTTTTTATTTCTTTTTACTTTTTTCTTTTTTCTTTTCAGTTCAACAAATTAATCTGCAGTTGTACCACAAAGGTTTTATTTGTTTTTTTTTTTACTATATAGAATTATTCATATAATATATATAGTATTTATTTTCCTTGAACTCTTAGTAGTCTTAGGACTGTGGACCTTGATATGATATCTTAACTGCATCGGTATTAGCAGAGAATTTATAAAAATAAAAAATAAAAAAAAAAGTATATATAAACTATTTTTAAGAAGAATTAATAAAAGGAATGGCTGAGTCGAGTGCTCGTGGGTTTTCGAAGAATGGGACGTGTGGAGAGTATGTTGGTCCTTAGAGATTTTAATTGGAAAGTGAATTATAAATAAAGTAGGCAAGATGGCATTATTTAAGGGCATTGATTTGGGCACCCCCTTCCCTTTCTCCTTCTCACTCGCCCCTCCCTCCCACCTTACCTCTTAACCCTTTAATTTAACTTTTACTATTTTCCATTCAGAAAAAAATGTTTTTAAAACCTTTTATTTGACTCAATTAATTGATTCTCAACTAGATTTATTGAGCATTCTTTTGGTTGGGTAAGATTATTTTTATGTTATGATTATTGGTCTTTTGGTCCCATTTGATTTTTTTTTTTTTTTTTCCCTAAGGTTAAACTTTTTTTGTAATGAGTTTGAAAAACCCTTTTCGTGCCTAGTTTTGACTATGCTCGATTTGGATGAAAATNTTTTTTTGGAACGTTTTTTTTTTTTTTTTTTTTTTTTTTTTTTGTTCTCTTTTGTAATAAGGAAAAGCATAATTGCATTTGGTATCGGTTTCTTATCTCTTTTAATTTATTTTTTTTATTGAAAAAAAAATTAGAAGCAAAGTTTGGTGGTAACCATTTTTTTGTTTATTGTTCTAAGAAAAATATCTAGATTAAAAATGTAAAGAAATTACACAAATAACTTCTCAAAATTAAAATAACATACCATTTTAGTGAATAAGCCAAAACTTCCACATAAAATGCCCAAACTTTGCCCTTCTAAGACTGAGAAAGCTGAGGATTTAGAATCTCCAAAATGGTAAAGGGTTGTTCGGTCATCAAAGGCAAAGTAGGAGTACCTCTGTGATAAAAATACTCCCAAAAAAGGGAGGATACCTTACTTAGAGGATTCTTCCAAAGCAACAGCCCACTACTTAGAGGGACACAATTCAAGTATAAAGCCACCCAACAAAAAAAAGAACAAAAAAAAAAAGAGAATAGTTTGTAGGTTCAATTTTATGTATACTTTTTAAAGTTTCATTCCATTCATATTCTTTGATTAAAGCTTTTATTACCATAGTATTACTATCATTGGGTTTTGCCATAAATCGGATTTTGTTGCTTTATATAGGCACGGATATTTTATAAGGTTCTAATGAAGGATCACAATGGTAATAAACTTAAGACATCAAAATTGAAATTAACTTTTTTAAAAAAATATTTAAATAGATTGGTTAGAGAAAGATCCCAAAATATGGCCCGGGAAAAAAATATCAGATTTTTTTGTGTTTATATGGCTCGATTTGATTGAATTTGAACATTTCTATCGAAACTAAGTGTTTTTACTTAATACCTATTATGCTCAGTCATTTATGGGTCTTAGCTGGTGATTTGGGCTATTTCCCTCTCGACAAATGAAGCTTTATCCTCCATCGTGTCTCGTTGGCTGATCTTGACCATTGTTATTTTGAGATTATAACAGTATTCAGAGTTGTCTAAAATTTGGTACTACTCTTGCGGTCTACATCAAAATAATATTTTACCTTTAGATGTCTAATCTACTACTATGTCTCAATGCATTTCGGGGAGAATCAACTAGTAGTTTTGAGTTCAAGCGGTGGTTTTTTACCTTCTAATTAATAATTTTTCAACTTTGAAATTCATGTCTATTTAATCTTTTAAGATTTAAAACAAATTATAATATAGTCTTAAAACTTTGTAGGTATAAAAGTTGAATTGATGGAATTTTTATTTGAATAGAAGCAAATATGAATTTTAGGGCAGAAATTATAATCTAACCTAAAAAAAAGGGGGGG